GAATAGCTGGCTACCTTTGATTGGCCAAAACTCTATGATCGGCAAAGAGGAAGGAGTAGAAAGGAGTGAAGATGAATGGAGCAAACTTTAGCCGGGACAGCTGACATTTTTGCTTTTGAACTTTTAAACTAAAATATTCTTTTAAATAAAACCAATAAGGCTTAACCAAGATTATAACTTAATCAGGTAAGCAAGAGGGGTCTTATTTATTTATTTATTTTTGAGACAGAGTCTCGCCTTGTTGCCCAGGCTAGAGTGCCATGGAGTCATGCCTAGCTCACAGCAACCTCAAACTCCTGGGCTCAAGCAATCCTCCTGCCTCAGCCTCCCGAGTAGCTGGGACTACAGGCATGCGCCACCATGCCCGGCTAATTTTTTTTTCTATATATATTAGTAGGCCAATTAATTTCTTTCTATCTATAGTAGAGACGGGGTCTTGCTCTTGCTCAGGCTAGCAAGAGGGGTCTTTAAGGAGGTGGAGAACGGTTTTTACAAGATCTAGAAAAGGCACACAGAAACAGCTCAAAGAAAGAAAAGCCTCAAATAATCATAAATGAGGTGTAATCCACAATTCTGTCCAGTCACATTTTCTAGGGTCCCAGCTTTTCAGCTGACCATTCGTACATAAATACCTAAAAGTCCCATATGCCTCCACAGAAGACAGGAAAGCAAAAGCCATGCACAGAAGGGAAGCGAATCAAGGAATGGCGAAAGTTGTACAAACATTAAACCACAACAGGCATATTCGCTGCCCAGGAATCAAACCTAGGCTGCTGAGGTGAAAGCACAGAACTTTAACCTTTAGGTCATTGGCCTCTGCCATTATTCCTGCAGGGTCAGTGTTCAAAGGATTTTTATCTCTGTTTTAGAACAGATACTCTTCAATTTTGTCAAAAGAATTTTTAAGCCTGGCCACAACATTATATGTCTTTCTTTTAATCTAATTTCTTCTATTAATACAAATAAGGTAATTGTTTTGAATAAGAGATCTCGAAAACTTATTTTGAAAAATTTAGAAGACATTGAATTTAAAGGATCCATCTTTTGGCCATTAATCTCAATGGTATATTTATTCCAAAAGCAACTCAATCCAATGCCTCTTCATAGAAAACCCAGGCGGTAATTTTCCAGGTTTAGGCTGGGGAGGGCACAGAGAAGGCACTTTCCAAGATTCCCCAAAATTCCCTCTCAGAAACAAACAAGGTAACAGAGAGGGTAGGACATTTTAAGACAAAGACCACCTTAGAGCTGGGCACGTTCTTCGGTAGGAAGAGTGGGCTGCTTACAGTCTCACCTGTCTCGAACTCCGATCTTTTCAGACTGGCTGCCTGATGTGTTTCTGAAAAAACATGCCCCCCGGATGGCAGAGACTGAGGAGAAAACTCCCACTCAGTCACAAGACAAGCTCAGGGACATAAGACAGGATGAGAGGGGGACCTCACAAGGCTTTTATTTTCAGGGACCTGAAGCAAAGTTTGTCTCAATAGACGCCAGTCTAGTCAGAACCATGAAACTGGCTCCTCTGCAGGGTGGCTCTAATGTTGGGCTTATGGGGGAGTTCTAGGCCCGAGTTCTACCCTATGGCGACCCTCTTTATGACAAAATGACACAGAAAGACAATCAGCGAAACAACAGCAGACAAGAACAACAATAAAGGCTATTTCTGAGAGGAAAGGGAATCAGACAATATGAATATTCATACCACAAATTACCAAAAAATATACCAATACCAGAGTCGCTCCTAAGATAGTCACTCACAAAAACTTTTCTCTCATTAATCTTAAATTTGGAAAGGACAATGATCTTTTACAGTCTGCTCATCCGGAGCCCACAGAGAGAGGAAAACTGGAGTCTGACTGGTAAGTAAAGTATCTTACCACGATGCCAGCTGGTCGGAGTTCTGATTTTCCTCACTGCTGCTGTCAGGAGAGCAGAGGAGCTTTGAGATCCTTCTAGGCTACCCCAAACTGTAGGGGGGAGGGAAAACCCACCCTACTCCACCCCCTAAAGTTCCTGAAAGATCATCAGACAATTAAGGGAGATTAATAAGACAAAGGTTTAGTTACCATGCGCCTGGGGAGAATCACAGAGTAATTGCTCAATGCCCCTAGGAAGTACAGATATTTTTATACCTGTTCTTATGGAGAGGAGGGGAAGTGAGGAGTGCAGGTAACTCTGTTTAGGGGTGACAAATGGTGTTAGGGAGGACATATGTATGGGAGAAACAGATTGACTTGTAAATTAACCTGAGAGACAGGTATTGTGCTCAAAATAATTTGGGCCATGCCTGGTTGCATTCTTGATCTTCTTCCCTGCAATATATTGAGATATTAATAACAGGGAGATGAAGGGAAGTCAATTGCCTTTGATCTTTTGATCAGGTCAGTCTGGTTTCTGTAGATAGAAGAAAAGCCTCTTAAAAGGGCCTGTTTATCTGTAAGAGCCTTTAATTCAAAACACTGTATAAACCAAGGAGTTGCATTTTGGGGTGAAATTATCTGCACTCCTTCAAGACCGCACTGGGACAGGGAGAGTGCTGTGGGATAAACTGACAGCCCAGCTGGGGAAGCACCAGGCTGCCATCAGGGGAAGGAGGGGAGAGCTCTTGCTGCATTACACTGGGGAGGGCTCACTGTCTGCCAGAAACATCAGCAGAGTCAACCCAGCTCTGCAGGGGCTGGTGCAGGAGCACAGGGCTGAGAGAGGCTCAGTAGCAGAGCTCAGCAGGGCTGTGGCCAGGACGTGCACAGAGACTGTTGCACATGGCAGCTCCTCTGCTTTCTTCCTCTGCAGTCCATCTGTACTTGCAAGTTCACTTCCATTGCTTCTATTTTCCAGTGAAATGGAAAGTAAAATCATCAACTGAGACAAAGATGAAGTAGGAAGTGCTGGAAATTTCAGGCAACAAGTAAATATTCATCTAGGAGACTGGGAGAGTGAATGAGCATGAGAAAGATAGAAAGGTAACAAAGTACAAGGCAGCTCACAGTTAATGATCATGAATTTAAGGTAAGGCTACTCACTATAGCTGTGAATTTTTTCTCTGACCACATTCAGCTGCCCAGGTAAAGACTTGTACTAAGTGGGGAATTGAGTGTCACTGCTCAATCAATAGCTGTTGAAGTACTGAATGAATGAACACATGCAAAGGTCAAAAGGAGGATTCATTTAATGTGAAGGAGGTGGGAGGATTGCTTGAGCCCAGGAGTTCAAGGTTACAGTGAGCTATGATCACCCCACTGTACTCCAGCCTAGGTGACAAAGCAGATTCTCATCTCTGAACAAACAAACAAACAAAACAACAACAAAAACAAAATGCAGGAAGGTTATAAGGTACAGGGAGAAAGTTAAGCAAGACAGAGTGACTGAAGGGCAAATACAGGGCATAACATGTAGTTCAATGGCCAAGGCCCACAGGACCCCTGGTGACAGGGCTGCCCAGAGTGTAGCAGGAGCAGGCCTTTCTCTGAGAAAGAAAGAAAAGAAGAGAGAACAAGGAAGATGCATTTTGACAGGAAGGATAGAGAACCCGAGGGAAACCAGAAGCACCTGTCCTTTACCTGTCATAGGCCTCATCACTCTCTGCCTGTTTGCATTTCTGAGTTTCACCCCAGAGTGCACAAAACCCAGGGGTAGGAAACTTGTCTGGATGATCGACAAGTAATCTATTGTGTCTTTAACACCTAACACACACTGACCTATAGCAGCTGCTCAGTAATTTGTATTGATTCAGTGAAGCAATGCATGAATGAAGGAAGAACAGAAGTATTCCGCACAGATTTATAGGCTGGGGGTTAAGAAGACTGGACAAGCTGTGAAACGATGATGTGTCATAGTCATTTAGAGCCAAACATGGACATTGTTAATATGCAATAAAAACCCAGCCTACTTGGAATGGTTGAATTTACTGTCAGAAAATGTATCCAGAAAGCACACATCTATCACCACTCTACTGCTTCCATCCTGTTACAATAATAATGCATCAGCATCTGGATCATTAAGACTTCCTAAATGGCCTCCAAGTTTCCACCTTTGCCCCCAACTAGTCTCTTCTCAACTACACTGTTAAAACACAAGACAACTGCTGTCCGTCTCTGCTCAAAACCCTCCAGAGGAGCCTAGTCTTCCTCTTAGTCCAGATCAAAGCCCTAATCAGGGCTTCAACCTCTCCCAGACTGCCCCTCCCCCTTCCACTCACACCTCCTTTCCTGCTTCTTCCCTCTTGCTCATTCTGCTCCAGCCACAAGAGT